ATGGGTTCAATAAGAAGCAGAGCCACAGCAAAAGGGGAGTTTGAATTAAGAAATATGAGAACTAAAAAGACTGGCAGAAATATTAATACCTATCTTTGGATATTGGTAATAAAGTCTATATATTTGACTAAACTCTTTATGTAAGTTAAAATATATATATGGTACAAAACTGGAAGCTAGTATGAGAGGTCTGTCTGCTTTGGCCATCAGAGTCAATGACCCACTTCCCACTCTTACCCACCTCTTGGTATCTGAGGCACCTGCTCGCACGCAACCCAGACATTGTTGCAAGAAATAAGGTCATTGTTCTCAGGGCTGCGGAAAGGAATCAATAAGGACATATCAATAATCTAGGTTCCTGTCCTAAAGAGCTCCTTCCTCCTGGTTATTACTTTCAGTTACACTACAATTTTGCTGTTGAACTGAGCTTTTATCCCTTCCTGATACAAGGAACCCCATTAACTAATACTCAACCGTGGCATCACTACCTCTGAGCTGGAGTGGTGCAAAGCACTTCCACAAGCTGAGCCATGCCATCCACGATGTCCAAGGTGGCGCTCCGAACCAGCTTCCTCAGGGTGATTCCTGTAGCCAAACCCAAAGACTAAGCAGCCGGTCTTCTTTCCAGAAGCCAACATCTACTTTCCTCAAGAGTGTAAGCACTACAGAACTTACATGCTGTAATTGGAGTGCCCACACAAAACAGGTCGACTTATGTCCCCATGCCATTTTCTTGCTCTTCCCACCATTCCCGACTGCTGATTATAAGAAAGGCATGACCCTAGCTGGTTTGGCTCAGTGGATACAGCGTCGGCCTGCGGGATCCAGGTTCAATTCTGGTCAAGGGCACATGCCCGGGTTGCGGACTCTATCCCCAGTAGGCAGCTGATCAATGATTCTCTCTCATCATTGATGTTTCTATCTTTCTCTCCCTTTCCCTTCCTCTCTGAAATCAATAAAAGTAAGAAATAAAAAAGACATGGAAGCCACTTAATGTATAAGGAAACTCAGCAATAGGGTGTGATATAATATGGGTGGAGACTGGGGATAGCTTGGGCCTGGGTATGGGGCTGAGACTTAGCCAGCATCTGTGATGGTATACTGGGTTAGAGAGGAAGGAGCTAGTGAGAATGAAAAACCTTAGAGTCAGGCAAGGCGAGGGGGATGGGAACACAGCATCTATAGCTGAAGGCTTATTTATAGAGGTCACTTCCATTATGAAGTTATCTTTGCATTTTATGAGGAAGTTATATTACCTGCTTAAATTGAGGGAAAGGTAAAGTTTCAGTACATAAGCTGTCACATTAGCCAAGGTCTACCCAATGTTTGTGTGACAGTGACTTACCCTGATCCTTGGGAAGCGAATAGTATACTGCAATAATTGCCTTGATGGCAGCATGGACTTGTTCACAGAGCCTCTGGGCTTCCTATGAGGAGGTAGACCAATTTCAGAATGAAAAAGGAAATGGATTAGATCAATCTGGTCAACTCTTCTACTCTGGAAGCGAGAAGACAACGGTATAGCATCACAAACCTTTCTGGAGTCCTAGTGTGAGTTAGGCCTTGTGCTATTCTCATCACATACTAGAGAGAAGTCAGCCGGACACCAGGTACTGAGCTGGTAATTCAATAAAACATGAAGAAACAGCTGGAAAAACTTATTCTTGATTTCTGCTGTGAAATATCCACCTTATCTTAGACCAGGAACTGGCCAACTATGGACCCCTGGGCCAAGTCAGGTGCACTGCCAGGTTTTTTTTAATAGTGTTACCGGTACACAGGCATACTCTTTTGTTTGCATGTTATCTACAGTTGTGTTTGCACTACAAGGGCAGAGTTGCGTCACTGGCCTGCAAAGCCTAAATATTTATTATCTGGCCCTTTACAGAAAAAGTTTGCCAATCCTCTTAGACCATTAACCAGGTGTCTGTCTCTCTCTTTCTCTAGTTCCGCAGGATCACAATATACCTAAAGGTAATAATGGACTCTACAATGTTCAGTGTTGACTATTTGCCTTCTAAGCAGACACTGACTTTCACTTATCTTCCTTGTCCTCATTTAGCTGCTAAATTTTAAGCCAGTGCTATGTAAAATGTGCGCTACAGAATGGTGCCAGTCCCCAAACTGTTTACTAGTCTGGGATGGATAAGTACAGTGATTGAGAGTGTTTAGAAACTTTTATGGCAATTTGACATTCCTTCAACATCCAAATACATAAGTTTATAAAAGGAAAAGTCCATATGGAACTGAAATTAAAAATAAATATAACTATTATTCAGTAAGACTAGCATGCTGAGATCCTAAGCAATTGTGATTCAAATACATATAATTCAAATAAAACCAAATTCTAATTTCCCATCTGAGTGAAACCACTGACCTAAGCATGTACAGAAAATAGTTCTATGCTGCCTCCTCATGGTATCTTACTAGCTGTGAATTTTAGCAGCAAGTCCTAAGAATATTTGAAAGAAGGAAGTTGGCAGGTAAGAAAAACAAGGTATTATTACTAACTCCCTTTGAAATAAATATTGACTTTCTTCCACAAAGTTTTTAAAGTGCTCTCATATAATTAATCTCATTTCCTCATCACAGATCTCTGTGTTATGTAGGGGGAGAGAGTTTATCATTGTAGGTGCAGCAAGAGTATTTTTCCATTTTAAAACATCTGGAAATATAGATTGAGCAAGAAAACGAAACTATTAACTGCAAAAATCAAATAAGGCAACGAGTATGCCATTTTTAAATAAATTTATCCCAAATTCAGTATACCTAGCTCTAGAAAAACTGGGCATAGAGCACACCTGGTCACAGTTGACATGTTTATTTTCATTAGTTTTATAATAAAGGGGTTATTAAATGCATAAAGTCTTTGTTCTAGCAATTCCACTTCCTGGAATTGTTTTTGTTGTTGTTGCATATGTGTGTGGTTTTTTGTTTTTTTTTACCAATATACACACATATACCAAGAATGTATTAGGCAATTTACAGCACTGTTTATAATAGCTACAAATTGGAAACAGCTTAAATGTCTACATAGAGTACTGGTTACCTGAATTATGGTTATATGCTCTCTACTGAATACCCTGCAGCCATTACAAAGAAATGAGCAACTTTATATGTGCTGCTGAGAATCAATTTGCAAACTATATTGTTAATTTTTTTAACATTTTTTAAATATTTTTATTGATTTTTTACAGAGAGGAAGAGAGAGGGAGAGAGAGTTACATCGATCAACTGCCTCCTGCACACTCCCCACTGGGGATGTGCCCCCAACCAAGGTACATGTCCTTGACCAGAATCAAACCTGGGACCCTTGAGTCTGCAGGCCGACGCTCTGCCCACTGAGCCAAACCGGTCAGGGTGTTAATTTTTTTTAAAAAGATCCAGAAAAGTGTTCATGGCATTCTGTCATTTGTGTAAAAAGAAGCAGGCATATATACATAAATGTGCATATGCATAGAATACTTATGAATAATTCAAAAAGAACTGGGGAACGGAGAAATAAACTTTGTAGCACACTTAACTTTGATATTTTTTAAATTTTATACTGTATACATTGTTACTGATTAATATAAAAATAATTGAATATAAAAAGGGATGTAGCGTAACAAAAAAGGTACAGCTTAGACATCAGATAGATCCTAATTTAAATCCTAACTCACTGCTTATGTACCTTAACCCTAGCCTCTGAGCCTGCTGACTCATCTGCTAGATGGGGGTCAGATATGTGAAAACAAACAGCAAGTGCTTAAATGACCAGAAAGGTAATAACCAGAATGAACTTTAGGTTAAGCCAATACTACTTAGAAGACCAGCCTCCTCCAGGCCAGGCCCTGCACGTGGCAATGTGGTCCTCACAGCAATCCTGGGGGGTGAGAACTGCAGTCCTGTTTGACAGGTAAGAAGAAGAAATCCCCTGGCTGCGCTCAGAGGTGGAAAGATGGAGAGAGGATGCCGAAGGAATCAGGAGGCAGCACAGGAACTCAAAGCCCACCTGTGCGGACGGCGGTGGCCGCGGGAGTCGAGAGAAGACTTCGGTGAGAGCCGTGGCTTCCCTGGACACCTTCTCGGCTGCCTCATCTGGGGCGACAGCGGGGCGGCAGGCGCCATGTCCGTGCCCACAGGATCAGGCTGCCGCTGCTGCACGGACTTTAGAGATAACGCGCTCCCTCTCCACCCTTACTGCCC